GGGGTCAGCAGATGGTTGTGGTCCAGGAAGGTTCTGGTCCCAGTTCAGGGGATGGTTCTGGGCTGGATTTGGTGGACAGGGCTGGATCCAGTGGACAGGGCTGGATCCCAGTTGAGTTTTGAGGACATTTCTGGCCCCAGCTGGGTTTTGGAGGATGCTCCTGGTCCCAGTTGGGTCCTGATGGGATGTTTCTGGTCCCAGTTAATTTTGGAGGATTTTTCTGGTCCCAAATGAGTTTGAGGTGCTTCAGGCCCAAGTTGGGTAAAGAAGATGGGTCTGACTTTAGCTGATTTTGAGGTTCCTCTGGTCCTGGTTGGGTTTGGGGTGATTCTGGTCCTGATGGAGTTTGGAGGATGTTCCCAGTCCCAGTTGGACTTGGGAGATGTTCCTGGTCCCAGTGGAGTTTTGAGGATGTTTCTGGACCCAGATGGGTTTGGAGGACATTCCTGGTCCCAGTTGGGTTTGAGGTCTTCAGGCCCAAGTTGGGTTGAGAAGATGGGTCCTACTCCAGCTGATTTTGGGGTTCCTCTGGTCCTGATTGGGTTTGGGGTGGTTCCGGTCCTGACGGGGTTTGGGTTGGTTCAGGTCAAGGCTGGTTTTGAGGATGGTTGTGGCCCCAGCTGGTTTTGGAGGATGTTTCTGGTCCCAAACGGGTTTGAGGTCTCCAGGTCCAAGTTGAGTTGAGATGGGTCCAACTTCAGCTGATTTTGGGGTTCCTCTGGTCCTGGTTGGGCTCAGGGTGGTTCTGGTCCTGATGGGATTTGGAGGATGCTTCTGGTCCCAGTTGGATTTGGATGATGTTCCCGGTCCCAGTTGGGTTTGAGATCTTCAGGCCCAGTTGGGTTGAGAAGATGGGTCCAGTCCCAGCTGGATTTCGGGTTCCTCTGGTCCTGGTTGTGTTTGGGGTGGTTTTGGCACCACCCCAGCACCCACCTGTGTCCTGGCCCCATCTCCCCTCACAGCTCAGCAGAGAGCTTCAAACCAGGCTTCGTGCCACCACGGGACCTGAGCAAGCACAGCCCCCTCATCAAGAGCCAATCCCTCACCAGCATCCGCCGCGGCCGGGGCCCAGAACCGGAGCCACCGGCACCGGCGCCGTCACCGCTGCCCAACCGCGAACGCCGCAACGTCCAGCGCACACAGAGCGTCCCGGCGCAGAGCAAAGCCACCCGGCGCCTCCGCAAGCAGAGCAGCACCGAGCACGTGGCTGAGCCAGCATCTGAGGACAACCCGGAGTCTCTCGTCTCCCGCGATGCCCTGGTAAGCCACGGCAACCGCCGTCACCATTGCGCCCAGGAGGCGGAGGAGGGCTTTTAAGGGGTCCCACCGGTGCCGTAGGCTCGTGGGAAGCTGCGGTCGTCGGCGTCGGTGCGGCGCAAGTCAACGGTGCCATGGCTGCGCTACGCGGAGGAGGCGGTGGCGGCGCAGGGCGAGCTCTACGCCATCCGTCCCTTGGAGAAGGTAACGCCGTGGCGGTGGTGGTGGGGCGAAAGCCGAAAACACCGGAGTCACCCGCTAATGTCCCCGTCCTCGTCATCTTCCAGCACGGGTGGTTGATCGAGGCGCTGCGGAAGGAGGTGGCAGAGAACCGGGAGAGGGTGCGGGTGGCAGAGGCACGGGCGGGAGAGGTGGAGGGCGAGGACCGTGC